TTTTTTTTTAATGATAGTTACCGAAAATCGTGTTCAATTATTGTTACAAAAACTTTTTCTAGTTTAAATTACGGACCACATTCTTCTGAGAGACGTAAATAATGAAACCCGTTAAACAAAAAAGTGGTTCGTACTAGTTCATTGAGCTCAGGAAACAGAATACTCGTTCAAAAAATTCGTTTCAGCGCAAATGCTTTACCCTTTCTAATTTCCGAGAATCGCCCAAAATTCACCTAATATTATACTTGTGGTCATGAAATGTTCATTAATGAGACTGCCCTTTGCTTCACCACGAAACTTCAAGAAAATGAGGTAAACCAGTAAAACTTGTGATAAGTAGGTTAATGCGAGCCACATGCCACCACAAAAAATCCAACCGACCACATTTAGCCGTTCATGCAGTAAGATTTTATATCAAAATCCGGCTCTTTAGTCAGATCATCATATCCCGACAGCGACTTTAAGTAGATTGATTCATATGCTACTGCAACATTTTACCACAAAAAGCAGTGCTCTGATGATATGCAGTAATTGATATCGTACCTCAAGCAGGCCTACTGTGCAGCGGAAGCATAAGGGCCATTCCACGCCAAATCGCACAAGTTTGAACCTCAACCTCTCAGATTTTCTTCATTTTTCGCCAATTTGTAGCCACTTGATACGGGATCTCAAAATCAAAAAAGTTTACCTCGAAAAGTACGTTGGTTGCAAAGTTAGACCGTTTTAAAGTGCAAAAAAAAAAAAACGCAATTTGCTCTCGACATGGTCGTCTCGCAGTTCGCAACCGATTTTTCTCATTGTTAGTGTATTTGAAAATTCGTCTCCTGTAGATTCAGAAAAGTGGTGAAACACTTGAATTAGCAAATTTTGTTTTAGATTAAAATCAAAACAAGTATTCAAAACGTTTTTTCTCAAAAAGCGACGCTTTAAATTTTCTAAAAAAAACATCTTTTAAAGAAATAATTTCTACGCAAAATATGAAAATCTCAGGTGGTATCTTTACGGGATCAAGAGTCACGGTTAGATTAGTGACAGTAGACTGCACAAAACCCTTAATTGTAGCAACATTTTGGCGCTTTGGCAAGTCTCAGAGCCTCTGTTTCCACTAGAATTTTATTTGTTGTTGTGGTATATATAATTCTTGTAAAACTTCTCAACTCCACTACTCCAGTACCTGACAATTAGTTGAAATTTATTTACTTTTAAACAATTTCACAAAATTTTTTTCAGAAAAAATTACTGTTATGATTATTTTTTCAGTTTATATGGCTCTGCTTGCTTATTGAACCCTTCTAACCCAAATATTTCACACTCGGTATTGTTTTTTGACTGCGAGAATTGTTTTGCTATTTTTGCTGTCAACGTTTTGTATATACTGCAATGAGATTTTCAACATGTTTCACTGATGGACGTACTCGAAAACGCGATGCTGAAAATGCTCCTCTCCTTTGATATTTATATGAAAGTAATGGAATCACTTGTATTTTTTCTCCTCAGTTTGGAGCCTATTTGTAAGAGTTATTCTGAGTTAAGATTTAGACTGAAAGTTTCTCTTTTCTGTCGGCCATCGTTGCTGATCTTCTCAACATGCCTTCAAGTATCAACTTACTGCACTGCCGCAACGACAGAAGAACAACAATACTCGCAATAATTTTATTATTTTCAGAAAAATGTGAAAGGAAAGGAACACTTCTAGCATCACGTTTTCGCCAGTCAAGTGCATAAAGAATTTCATTGCATTATACTACAAAGGGTTGAGAGGAAAACTAGCAAAACAATACTGGCAGTCAAAAAAAAGTACTGAGTGTGACACATTTGGGTTAGAAGGGTTCAATAAGCAAACAAAGGCATACAACCAGAAAAAGTTATCATAATAGTAAATTTTTCTTGAAAAAATTTCGTGAAATTGTTTAAAAGTAAATAAATTTTAACTAATTGTCTGTTACAGGGGTAGTAGAGTTGAAAAGTTTTACAAGAGTTATATATACTACAAAAACAAATAAAATTTTAGTGGAAACATGTTCTGGTTCTTGCGAAAGCGCCAAAATGCTGCTTCAATTAAGTTTTTTCCAGTCTACTGTCACTAATCTTACCGTAACTCTTGATCCCATAAAGATACCACCTTGTAACTTTTATATGTTGTGTAAAAATTATTTCTTTAAAAAATGTTTCTTTAAAAGATTTAAAATGTCGCTTTTTGAGAAAAAACGTTTTGAACATTTGTTTTTATTATAATCTAAAACAAAATTCGTTAATTTGAGCGTTCACCATTTTTCTAGAACTGCAGGAGACAGGCTTTCAAATGAAGTAAAAACGAGCAAAATCCACCATGAAATGAGAAAAATATAAGTTGTCAAATTGACCAAGTGGAGAGTAACTTGCGCTTTTTTTTCACATTTTAGAACGGTCTAACTTTGCCTCCAGCGCACCTTTTGGAGTAGACTCTTTTGATTTCAAAATCCGATATCAATTGCTACAAGGCTGGCAAAAAAGTGAAAAAAATCTGAGAGGTCGAGGTTCAAACTTGTGCGATTTGGCGTGGAATGCCGCGTAAGCAATTCGTCTTCCCATGTCATTTCTTTACTTCTCTGTTATCGCCAACAATGACCTCAAAACTAGAATATTGAGAAAGAAATCTACTCCCTTTCTCCAATGCCTTTTGAACTGACAAAAGCTGTGATATTCACACGTAAAATTCTGTATTTATTACTATGCAGTTGAAGTATTGTACATATTTATAGAAAATAAGGTCAAGCGCGAGAATTTGGCCATGAATGAATGAGGTCGGAGAAGCAATACAAATAGGTAGGTTTTGAAGTATTTTACTGATTCTCCTTCCCTAGTGATCCTAATACAGTAGACGGTATCTCTCGCATTTCGACATCTGCAATACATTGAAAATTACATGCAGTCTTCTTCTAGCATAAGCAAAAGGATAATGGCTGCTGAATTGCTTAAGAATTTGCTTACCATCATCTTCATCGTCTTCAATATTTATCTCATCTGGATTTTCAGCCGTATCGTCCTTAGTTGTTTGCCCTTCCCCACGAACAAATCTTATTTGGCTGTTGCCAACAACAGGTTTGAAACCACCCTCTTCTTCGGCTATTTTTTGTGCGCGTGCTTCCAGCAGTACCATACTGTCTCCTGCTGCTTCCGCTATAAAATGGACTGTTTTATACCAATGATACACCTATTTCACTTTCTCTTCATTATATCTTCTGCTGAAGAATCAAACCGTTAATATCCACAGCTCCATTCTGAACGGCCAACATCTGTGCACTCATTATATTCACGTTAGCATTATAAGCAGCTTGGACAGAACGTTTTATACGAAGCATCTCTCTAACTGTATCCTCATTTCCGTGTTTTATTTCAAACTCTTTCCATGTTTCCCAGAACTGCCCATGCACCTGTATATGAAAAATATTAATATTAATACATGGTTGAATAAGATCCTTCCAATAAAACCAGTGTTCACGATGTAACGAGCAAATGAAAGTGCTTACTCTAGGATCGCAAATTTCAGAACAGTGTGCATAAATGGCTCGTGCTCGATCAATTTCTCCCAAAGTCCTTTCCATCTGGGCAAAACGAATGCTCATCTTCCTAAACAAAAAACGCATAATTTGATACAAATTAATACGAATGTTTAATGCTCGAAGGTTCTGTCAAAATCTATGTTTTATTTAGCAATGAATTTTGAATTTTCTGGCAAGAAGTCCAAAAATTCTGAAAAGAATTGCATAGAAATGCAAATCAGTCAATCGTTCAAAATCGAACAAACAGAAATTTACCGAGACTCATCTTCAGGTAACATTTCAATTGCAGTTTGAAAGATTGGTCTCGTCTGCGTCATACCATACATACTCATTGCCTTTTTAATATAAATATTAAATACCTGCAATAAAGCTCAAAAATCTAAGTTAATAACAAAACATTTTATGAAAAAGCTTCAACAAATCAAACCAGTATGAGCATACTTTGTACATCTGACTTCTTTCTACAGCAGTAGTGGCACGGCTATAAATGTTCATAGCATGTCGCGGCAAACCATGTTCCTCTTCAAGCTTTGCATACAATAGGTAAAAGCCTGTAAATCAGGACTTTAATCTGAGACTCGTTTGAATCTTAATAAAACTGTTCAATAACACTTGAGAAAAAGGTACTGTTCAGGACTAGAACTTTAGGAAACTGCTTTAAAAATCCATTCATCATCTAAGTATCTCACTTCTATGAAAAAAAATATGCGGACTTACACATAGCAAACTTTGGCGGACAGTTCTCCAGACATTGCTCAAAAAGATCACGAGCCCTCTCTAGCTTTTTACCTCCCTCAAAAAAATTGATCATTACATT